AAGCAGAACCTTCCAAAGGGGGTAATAAAGGTTGTGAGAAGGGCTGAATTCTGTGACAGAGGAATCTGCCAAAACCCTGAATTGGTGTCCAATTTCGAAAAGAATTTGGCTCCTTTGAGCTGACCCAGAGAGTGTTCCACCGAAGGAAGAATGTATCTTTCGCTATTTACTGCATTATTCCACTTTGGTAATCACACCTTGATTCTCCATGTGTTCCAATTCCTGTTTCACTTTTGACATTAGGGGCAGTGGAATGCGACGGGGAGTTAACAGTGAAAAGGGCTTGGCATCTGGCTTTAGAGATATCTCATACTCTCCTTGCATTTTCCCAAGGCCCTGGAATAAATCAGGGAAATGTCTTTTAACTGACTCAAGACTATTGAGATTCACTGTATCAATTATCGATATAATCCCAAGAGCATGGATTGCTGGCCTTCCTAGTAGAGCCATTTTCAATCCTGAGATCACATAAATATCTTGGGTTGTGGTTTTACTTTTTGTGCTTATTTTGACTGTGCACAAACCCTTAACCTGCAGTGAGTCTTGACATGGTCCCAAAAGTATCTTTGACGTTTTCTGTAATTTACCAAACTTTTCCTCCTTGAACAGCTCTTCCGAAACCACAGTGACGTCTGCTCCCGTGTCCACTTTGAACAGCACATCTGTGTATAAGTGTCCATATCCACAATGCTCTGCCAGGCAATATAATGCTGTGATGAAATTATCTGCAGACTCTCCTGCTTCTTGCTGTCTCATGTTAAACTTTGCACGTTCAAATATTACATTTCTTCGTACAACAAAGTGCTCATTCAGTCTCTCATTCAGTCAGTATTATACTCACTGAGCTGTTCTGATGTGAGACGTAATGATGTGAGGATGTCCTCTGCCTCATCACCCATTGTATAAATGAGAGTATTCACTTGGTTCTATTCTGGCTGTAATTCAAGTCCAGATGCGACTCTAAATCTTTCAAATCTTTTACTCCACTTTGGCCATTCCACTGGTTTTGAGAAATCAAATTTTTGCGGTGGCGGTACCTGAAACCGATCCATTTTCTCTTATTCCGCAACTCTCTTCTCTGCACGTGATGAACGATCTCGTCTCTGAAGTTTCACATTAAATAGCGTGAGCTGTATGCAACACTCTTGACGAAAGGGCTCTCTATGTCCTCCTACGCCGTTCTCGTGCAAACATCTGACACCATGTTGCATTAGGATGGCTATTTGTCGAATTTTGTGTTAAAACAAGCCAGGTGAGACGAACGTAATGACATGCAACTTTATTGTTCAAGCCTCTCACTCCCCCAATAGGGGACAGTAGTTAACCATATCGCCACAGTTATTGATGATGTTCTTGCAGACCCGGCGCCAGAGGGGGGGCCGGGGGGCCCCTCCGGACCGAGGCGGATGGCCGGACTTTAGTTTTGCGTGTATAATAGTCTAACTCATAGTGTAAAATAGGCTAACTGATTGCTTTTAGATGGAAAAGCTGCCCAACTCCTGGTCTAGGATCTGTTTCTTCGTAATAATAGCATAATGAAATAGATTTGGCAAACAATCCAGTGTATCTGCCCTTCTGTTTTGGAAAGCGTCAAATGATTTTACAAAGCATTTTTGCAGAGGGGAGCAAAGTAGCCAATCACAGACATGTTTGTTGATTTCTACAACGCAATGGCCAATCAGATGTGTTTAGGTTGGAATCCACGCACTCACCGCTTTTTGTCCGGTGCTGAGTTCTATATCATGCTCGTAACTTTATTAAATAAAAGTGGTCACATTCATTGGTTAAAACGGAACTTTGTGAGATTGTGATAAATGAGTGACAGTTTTTAATAAATTTAAAGGGAGCGCTCCATGCTGTATACGATCATATATTCAGAATTTAAATAAAACGTGTGTTTTTCATGCTTGACAAGCGGCCACATACGACACAGAGATAGCTAACTACTACACTATATAGAAAAAGATAATAGCCTAATTTCAGAAGCACAAAGTGATGTGATTCTGCAACCGAGCCTGGTCCAAACGCAGGATTTAGGTAAGGAAACGGTTATTAATTATTTGTATTGGCTGCCATGCCAAATCATGCACCTGCTTGCTTTTCTGTTTAATTTAAGTGTTTTTGTGAACGTATATGCTTTAATAACAAATAATTGTAACATTTTACAATAAGGTTCCATTAGTTAATGTTAGTTCATGTATTAAAGTGTTAGTTAATTATTGTAAAGTGTTACCCAAATAATCTATTTTGACCGTTCACTTGAAAGTAAGCAGCTGTGAGTTTTGATCCACTCCATGGAAAGTCTATACCTATGAAACAGTCCTTTAAGAATAATTTTGTCACCTCCTTTGTGACGATTTCCCCTGTGGAGCCCACATGGTTTTATACTGTTAATTAATATATGATTCTCACTAAAAATCACATACATGAAACAGCAGCACCTTGTCATATCATACTCAATGGCTCCAAGTGCTGTTAGAGGAAAACTGCAGTTACAAAAAGGTTAATAACACAGACATATCAGCATTAACGCAAGGGCTGCAGAATCCACCGATACTCGTAGGTCAGTGTTATCAGCTGCTCACAATAGTTAACAGAAGCTATTTAGTCTCTGCTGTCAGGCAGTATTGTTTTAGAAATGACACATTATCATGGAAATTGGCTAAGCAACACTGACAACAGAGATAATAATACTATTTCATGAAGCCAAAAATTAAATATGTCCTATTTAAAGGTGACACCTCTGTAGGTCAGCACTTATTGAGTTGTGCGCTGTGGATTCTCTGAGGTGTCACTGCAGACTATATTAGAATTATAGATTAAGTGTGAGTAAAGAGGAGAGCGGAGGCTTGAATGGAAAGAGTGTTGATAATAAAGTCAAACCGAAATGCCAGAGGAGTTGTAAAATACTTCCAATCTACCCTGTGCACAATAACATTGGGTTTTTTTCTCCCCACAATGTCCTTTGTGAACAAGTGAGACTTTTTCTAGTTAAAGCTGAGAAGCACTGCATTAGATAGATGACTCAGTCACTTTTGAGCTTTATCATTTTGCAAACATTATGAAAATGTTACTTTTGAATGTTCTCTGAACATTCTAACAGGTAGCAACATTTAAACAAACATTTAAATTTCAGGTGAAAGTCCAACTAAAAAGTTTTTGAATGTTTTACAATGTATTAATAATGCTTTTGCGCTAACGTTTTGAGAACATTATTGACCAGATAGCTTTGACTTCTATTAATGTTGCTGGAAGATTTTTTTTCAACTTTGAGAGAACCTTGCCAGAACTTCTGAGAATGTTTAGCTGGGGTAAGGAATAATGTAAAAATGGCCTGACTGATTTGAGTCAACAAATAAATAAAATTATAAAAAATAATAATTTTGCCTGTATATTATCTTCTGTCAAGAAAAATATTTAACTACAGTGTCCAAAAGAACCGGCCAAGAACAAGACGAACACTGCAACAACGTTAGAGTAATATTAAAGCTGAAGTCTCTGTGATCTGATATCATCTGAGATGTAAGATGGTGCCAGTTTCGATTTTATGAATGACAGTAGCTGCATCCGAAATCACATTGTCAGAGTAGGTCATAATTTTGATAAATGTGTGTAGTATGAATACAATATGAACATAGCGATGTTGCGACTGTTATGTGACCTATGGAGTCAGTTGCCATTCACAGCTCCTCCTGTGACCTCTTGGGATAGAAAAGTGTCCATTTAATTTTACCTGCTGGGAATTTGGAAATATTTCCCGTACTGCTTTTCGGATACTAGTAGGGAAGTAGAATCAAGTAATACTGTGTAATAATAAAGCATAAAACGGTCACTCTAAAGTTTTCTGCTCAGTGAAAGAATTTAGTCCTCCACTCCCACTGCAATAAAATGTGGAGTGATCGATTATTGTGCTGAATGTTTCTAGCCAGAGGTGAATCTGAGTGCAGAGTTTAGCCTTGGCTTTGGTCAGTTTTATTTGGAAAGGGACATATGTGCCACCAGATGGGTAACAGCTAAATATAGTGCAAGGACATCAGTAATCCTCAAGCAGGGGTGTGGAGAGATGGCTGTTCCTCCATCTGCGTCCATGAATTGGATTCATGGTGTGGGAGTGGAGTTTATCATAGTGTGAGATTAAGATTGGCTCCAAGACATACAGACTTCACATCATGCTGCTATAATTAATGTATTTTTACAGCGAGATGCAGTGCAGTGTTGTTGTCGCCCACTAGCGTTGCAGTGTTAGTGTTTTCATTAGCTAGGATGCCACGCTCGACCAACAATGTCATAACTTAAACCAAGTCTGTCTTACTGTAATGCACAAATGACATGCTGTAATGTGCCATTTGGAAATACAATACAATAACATTTATATAACACAATACCAAAGTGATTTTCAACTGGTTTGTCTTGCAGTTCTGTTCTGATTATCAAAGATAGCAGGGGGAAACAATGCCAAATGCCAATAATAAAATGTGACTAACTGTATTTAGGGTAGCAAAAGAAATAAGATTGAAATTTTTAAAAGAGAGGAGAAAGATTCATTTTGTTGTTGACATCAAAGTCTGTGCATCCAATCAAACTACAACATTGTCTGGCACTTAAAGCAGTCGAATTTGACAAATGACAACATAGACAAGTTGCGTAATGCTCTCATCCATGCGTAAATGAAATGAGAATAAATATGGTTTGTGCAAATTACAAATTGAAACATCTGCACTTTACTAAATTATAATAAAGCCCATATAAAACCTCTTTATACTTTGTTTTTGTACATTTATGCATTTATTTATGTAATCAATGTATTATGTTTGTAATAATTTTTCAAATCAGTTATTTACACCCAGAGAAGCCTATCTGACTAATTAAATGCAACAAAATAGCTTTCAGACAGTATATACTGTATATTTTTGCTATAAAAATCAACAACAACTACAAACAAATTAACTCCACCTGACACTCTAAATTTGGTAAAACATAGATTTAGTGTGTGCTCCTGTGTGCGTGTAAAACGTCTTTAACCATAGAGCCTGAGGCCAATCTCTTGTACAATCTTCTTCTGTGCTGTGGTACATGAAGAGCTTGTTTCTGAAAAGGTTGGATGTACAGACGCCTCCAGGTGAAGCATTGCAAGGTCCATTAGTCACTTGTCAGTTAAATGAAAAAAAGTGATGAAAGACTTCTTAGTTCTTCCTTTTAAATCTCAAATAACATTGTTAATACCAAAAAAGATCCTTTTTCTCAATCACCTGTACACCTAAAAGGCAATCACAAGTGACTTAATTAAAACACTTAAGATCGATAATGTCTAATAAAATGAAAAAGAATGTGAATAATAAGAAATGTTTCTTAGCGTACATGAATAAGAAGGATCACGTGACACTGAAAACTAGAGTAATGGCAAATTCAGCTTTGCCATCACAGGAATAAAATATACTGAGAAAATCTTACAAACCATAAACTTTTGAAAATATAACTGTACGATTATGTAGGTGTGATTAAAATAGGATGGTAGAAAATGATGGCATTTACCAGAGTTAAGATTCATATCATTCATCTGATCGCCAAATCCAGGATACCTGGTCCATCCAGATGTAAGGTTTTGTTTGGAGGAGGGTAGCACCACTGTGCCCAAGTCAGGGTGATCGTTGTGGAGGAAATTTAACAGAGAATTAGAGTACTGATGTTCTGCCACCATCAAACCATCAGAGGATACAGCCGAGGGGTACATCATGGGGGGCAGAACAACACTCAATCCCTGCCTAGAATCCCCTGACCACAGAATAGCACTGTTTGCAGGGTGATTTGGTGGCATTTGATGGTTGGATTGAGACTCGCTGCTTGTTCCTTGCCGGAGATGTTCTGGAGGAAACAAGGGCTGAAACCTGGTTTGTGACTCTGCTTCCCATTGACTTGAAAGTCCATCTAAAAATAAAAGAAATAAATAAATCAAAACAGGAATTCAATGTTTCAACTCATTTAGCAAGTCACATATTTTGTGTAAAAGCAAAATTTAAGAGGAACAGTTACTTGTTTGAGCAACTTTATGGTTTCTTTTGATTTTGGAGCGTTCCTCCTTCGGTTTATTTGCTTGACTCAGAGCACGGGAGAAATGTTCATCCACCATGCTGTTGATGTCTCCTTGGAAGTAGGTGAGAAGGACACTACCAGACTCCTCTTTAGTCTTCTTAGCCACAGGGTTCCCTAGACCCTCCTCCATCACTGATCTAGATACTGCAGAAACAGTATGCATTACATAATTTATCCATCTATCCTGCCGTGGTGACAGATTATTGTGTGTTTAATTATTTGTCTTCTAAATCTAATATGAAATTGCAATAGCATGGCATTATTTGCATTCTTTCAATGATATTGATGAATGGCAGTATGTAAGCATAGGATATGTCACAGCCCAACTGTTCTATATTTGCTAAGTGGATTTAGATTATTTTAGCATCAATTACTCAAGTATTTAGGTGTTATCTTCTAGAGCTGCAATAAGACATATTATTTAGATCAACATGAGACAGAATACATTTTTATGCATTTTTTGGTTGACGACTTATGTTGGTAAGTACTATTCTGCTAAAGAACAAAATCTTGCACTTTCCACAGAAAACTTTTTTTTAAAGCATTAGAGGGACAATTTGTTTTTGTTAGCCTATGAGAAATATGATATCTTTAATAAATAAAAAATGGATGGCATTGAACAAAACATCATCATATATCAAACACATTTTATAATGTTGTTTATTAAATGTTGATGTGTTAAATGCATTGCTATCTGTCTATCTATCTATCTATCTATCAGAAAAATGTAAAAAACATACAAAATTGCTAAAACTTTAAAATTAAAATCAAAACAGAAAGTAATTCAAAATATTAAAAAATATTAATAATAATTAAATGTAATTATTTAATTTAAATAATTAAAAAACAAAATCTATAATAGTATTCCAACAATACTAAACACTGAAAGAACTACTGGTTATACAGTATCAAGGACCTCTTATACCAAATATATATATATATATATATATATATATACACACACAACTACCAAACTTTGGTAACAGGCCTGCAAACTATATTTAAAATAAATGTAAAATAAGACATTTTATATTTTAAGTTAATATTTAGTAATATAATTTAGTTAGACCACCTGTGGTTGATGATCGATATTATCTGAAGGTTTTCTGAAATTGTTTAGGTGTATCAAAAGTTATAATTGAAGACTACATATGCACGAAAATGCAGATAAATATCTGTTAAATATTACATCTTAATACTGGCAGAATATTAAAACAGTCTGTCCCCTCTCTAAACAGCAAACTGTGGGTTGACGCACGTAAATCACTAGGTTCAGTATAGCACTTGATTGTATCCAGATTTATAGAATTTAGCATTAACGCTTAACTCGTTACGTTTTTGTTAAAGCAATTTGAAAATGATGAAATATTGCTGTAATGGAAATAGCCACCGTTTTTACTCACCGTGCGACAGTCGTGAAATCTCGAGTGTTTAATCAGACGCTGCAACGCTGCAATTACATTGATAAAGTAAAGGCAAAATATCCGCTGTTGCGCGAGATTTGAAAACGCTACAGTTAAATAAGTTTCATCGTTTCCCTTAAATTTGTACGTCGACTACAAGAAACTACTTCACTTTTTGCCCTTAAATGTGGGGCGTTAATCTGTGAACTTTAACCAGCACGAGTAGAATGTGACTGAACAAGTTAGACCATTTAACTGTCATCATCTCTAGAAAAAAAAAGACACTTGACAGAAGAGACAGAACTAATATTTTTAGGACATGTTGTTTTACTTCATTTTCCTGTTGACATTGTGGATAAGATAACATAGATTATTAATATATTGCAATAATTTATCTTAATACATGTATGCAAAGTGTAACACAAACATATAGTTTAGACATATGTTAAAAACCCTGTTACCTGTTGAAAAAACCAGCATATGCTGGTTAGGTATGTTTTGAAGCTGGGATGTTGGTTTAAGCTGGTCCTTTGTTGGTTTATGCTGGCCCTTTGCTGGTTTAAACTGGTCATTTGCTTAAACCAGCAAAGGACCAGCATAAACCAGCAAAGGACCAGCATTAACCAGCAAAAGGACCAGCTTTTTTTCAACAGGGTTACTATTACTGTATGAGCAAACCTCTGTATTTTGAATGATTTCTTGCAACAATGTTTTAGACCTGGCAGGGGGAAAGCTGCTAGTCTTTTTTAATACTGATAGTCTGAAGCAAAAATTACTACCTAGCAATTCAGAAAAAGTGCTGTCTTTAGCTATACAGATGTATAGATATCAGTCAGTTGAATGACACAAGTCGTAACACATTTAAACAGGTGACCTCAGTAATTCATCTCTCTGGAAGAAATAAAAGAATCATTGAAATAATGACAATATAGTTGACAAACAGAAAAAAACAACTTAATGAAGCCTTTCATGAATTTCTGCTGGAGATTTCCAAACATGTCATTTAACAAACACAAAAAGAAATTGAATACACAGAATTCATATTCCCTCTTTTTATTGTTTTCTGTCCTGTGTCAGGAAAACACCATTATGGCTGGTCCCTGAGTTTGAGGTATCGGAGATCTTCCTTTCACTGGTAGTCTCTGACTTCATGGACGGTGAGGAGACTTTTAGACCACCTTTCGCTTTGGCCCCCAGTGTCACAGAACGGCTCCAGTCTGGTCAAAATTCAAATGATGAATTAATTTTTCAAAAATAAATATTTTGTGTTTTTTAGATGGGATGCTCTTTACTTGTTAATAAATCTTAATCTACAACCTTCTATTATTATTATTATTTTTGGTTGGTGTTTGATATGCAGTTTTGTATAATTCAAACATTGTACACTATTATTATAATAAAGAATATTTTCTCTATAGCTATTTACTATAGTTTATATGAGACAAACCTGAGTATTCAGTCTGTCTGAATCTTCCACAGCAGAGATGTATCCTCCACTGCTTCCTTACAATGTCTTTCATCAGACAATAAAACAGGAAGATAAAGAAACCTGAAATACAGCAAAAAGCAAAACACTTTCTGGGTGTACACTGTAAGGGTCCAAAGATCCCTTACATTCGCCATGAGGACTGCAATCCAAAATGATATCATCTGTTGTTAAACAGTAGAATAATGCATTCTTATTTTATTCTTATCATTCTTATCTGTATGATGGACCTATTATAATCAGGAGTACCACTGCGTATATATATATATATATACCGTATGCACAGTGTTACATATTTGAACATAAACTTTCTCTCACAGGCATAAGCAGTCCTTGCTGTTACCTTGAAGACTGTTGAGGAGGGAGAACAGGTACAGCAAGGGTGTTTTGGCTGGGCCCCAGGCGACAAAAGTTAGTATCCAGGTAAGTCCCAGCAGGAAGGTGAGACTGGCCACCACTCTGAGGTCATGCAGGAACCCTTTTCTGCTGCTGGAAGGCTTATTGACCCGCATTTTACGGATCTGTACCAGCACCACAACAAACATGCTGATGTTACAGACCATGACCAGGGTCACGAAGGAAACCACCGTCACATAAAAGGTCACGTCATTCTTTAACCAGCAACTGAAGAGAATGAAGAGAAATAGTATAACCATAAAGGCCCATTCATTCCAAAAAGATAATTATAATGACAACCATATGATAAATAAATTGGCGTCCACACCAACAGACGATAACTTTCTGTTTATTCTAATCGTGGCCTTCAGATATGTTCTGCGTGCGCGCAAAAAAGTTGTATTGCTCATCAGCTGGACAGAATTTGCTGTGAGTCATTTCAACGACATCATTCCTCCAATGCCTTCAAAAATATTTTAGGTTTGGCAAATTTGTACATCTCATTCATACGCTCTTGTATGACATTACAAGTGTGGAAAATGTTGAAATTCCTAATAATTACGATGGCCGAGAGAGCTCAATGATCTGCAACTTCAGAAAACACATGCAAATAGAAGAAGCATCAGCAAATTAAAGGGGTCATATGATGCTTTTTTAAAGATCATTATTTTGTGTATTTGGTGTAACAGAATATGTTGACATGCTTTAATGTTAAAAAAACACATTATTTTTCAAATACTGTACATTATTGTAGGTCCTCTATGCCCCGCCTCTCTCAAACGCTTCGTTTTCT